ACAAAACAAAGTGTTGGCTGGGGGTGGAACTTCTCACACATGATCTCAAACAACAACGCATTCCTGCCAAACGTTCATAAGAAGGTGGCACCCAAGGCCCAGCCCATGTACGCGTAGACGTCGGCTGCTTCTTGGAGCACCTTGCTCGTCGGTTTGCCCGCCCCGTGGCCCGCTTTCGTTTCGATGCGAATCAAGAGCGGGTTCTTCTGGTTCGGGTGGCTGCCCAACTTGTGCTGCACTTCCGCAATCAACTTGAGCGAATGCAGTGGCACGACACGGTCGTCGTGGTCACCCGTCGTCAACAAGTACGCAGGGAACCCGCCGTGATCGTTGGCCAACCCGAAGCTCTTCGCTTCGAACGAAGGCACGTTGTGCAACGGCGAGTACTTGGAGATGTACTCGAACGCTTCAGGCTCGTCGGGGTTGCCAAAATCCGTCACCCAGCCATGCCCGACAGTGAACTTGTGGAATCGGAGCATGTCCATGACGCCGACGGCACCAACGGCGCAACGGAACAAATCGGGACGCTGGTTCGCACACGCGGCCACCAACAGACCGCCGTTCGACCCACCGTGGATCGCAATCTTCGACGAGCTCGTGTACCCTTCCTTGATCAAGTACTCGGCCGCACCTTGAAAGTCATCAAACACGTTCTGCTTGTTGCCAAACGTGCCGGCCTGGTGCCACGCCTGGCCGTACTCGCCACCGCCTCGCAGCGACGGCAACGCCAGGAGACCGTTGAAGTGCTGCACGAAGATCGTGCGGCTCGCCGAAAACGACGGCGTCAGCGAAATGTTGAACCCACCGTACCCATACAAGTACGTGGGGATGTCGCCCGTGCGAGCCAGGTTCTTCTTGGACACCAAAAACATCGGAATCTGCGTGCCGTCCTTGGACGGGTACCACACTTGCTTGGCCTCAAAGTCCTCGGGGTTGAAGCCGGGCACCTTGGCCTCGCGGAACACCGCCGGCGAGCTCGTCGACGGGTCCGTCAGGTCTTCGCGGTAGATCGTGCCAGGGTACAGGAACGAGATGAACTTGAAAAAGAGTTCCGGCGAGTCCCGCTTGCACGACACGTTGACCGTCCCGATGCTGGGGAGGGCGATGTTGCGCACAAACTCGCCCGACTGCTTGTACAGACGAATCGTGTCACTCGCGTCCTTCAAGTATTCGGCCACGAGCAGGTCTTTGCGCACGGCATGGGCAGCCGTCAACACGTCCACGCCTTCCGGAATCACTTCGGTCCACACGATCGTGTCGCTCAGGATATTGTCCACCTTGATGATGCGCTTGCGAGGAGCGTCCAAGTTGGTGACAAAAAAGAACTCGGGGCCGTTGTTGAGGAGGTATTCGTAGCTGTAGTCAGTGTTGTCAACGACAGTGTGCACAGGGATGCTTTGGTTGCCATCGGACGAGGCAATGAATGCTTGGGCTTCGGCCAGGTCAGCGACGAAAAGCATGTTGGCGTCCTTGCACCCATCCATGGTGCTGATGAGGAGGAACTTGCCGTCGTCCGACACATTAGCGTGGAGGTAGTACTTGGGATGTTGGGGGAACGAAAACACAAACTTGTCGTCGGATTGCGGTGTGCCGACCTTGTGGTAATAAATCGCAGGGTTTTCGTTCAAATCGGTTTCCGTGCCGGCTGTCTTGCCGTCAGCACCGGATTCGCGCGACTTGGGGGCGGGGTACCGTCCATAAAAGAAACCCTACCAAATGGTTCAAGGAACGGTGATGACAAGGAATCGAGCACGATACCACGTCGTCATGGGTGAACTCGATCCCACTGAACTTGACCCACTCCAACGTGTCTTGCAAGTGCTCGACCGTGCCATCGGCATGAATGGCAATCAACTTAATAGTTTGCCAGTCGGACCCGCCCTTGGACACACCGTACGCAAAGTACAGGATGCCACTAGCCGACTTGCCTTCGGAGAAGTTGTAGGTACCCAATGCGGCTGTACCGTCTTCGGCCAACGTGTTGGGATCAAGCAATACCTTGGGCTCACTCGTCAAGGAGTCTTGCATGTACAGCACGCTCTGGTTTTGCAGACCGTCGTTCTTGAAGTAAAAGTAGCGACCGCCGCGTTGAAAAGGCGACGAGTACTTTTCGTAGTTGAAAAGCTCGGTGTTGCGCGCGAGGAATTCCTTGCGGTACGGAATGTCCTGGAATACTTTTTGCGTCAGCTCGTTTTGAGCTGCAACAAACGCTTCCGTTTCCGGGCTGTCAGGGTCTTCCAACCAGCTATTGACACAAGTTATCAACAGGCATCCACATGGACGCTTCCCTACCGGTAAGGGTCAGCGATGACCTTTCCATGGATGACGTCTTGGTGGTCTGAACGGTGGACGGCAGGGTATTGGTACGCTGGTGCGGCCATGGTCGGGCAAATTTGAAAATGAAAGGCGAACGAAACAGCGCCACTTCAGCGTTCCATCCGGATATCCATGGAAATCGACAAAACCAGCGGATGCCATTTTTGTCCACTGTTCGACCTTGGAATATCTGGAACGGAGATTCGGCATTGCAAACGCACCGCTCTGCCTGGAGCTGTTTCCACCACGGCAGGCAGCATTGCACGCCCAAGGACACATTTCCCACGACAACACTACGGTTGTGGTGTTTGAAGCGTCCGTCGTCCAAGAGGTGGCGTCCACAAAGGGTCGACACCCTACGAGCAGTTAGAAGGCATTCTAGACAGGCCGGCCACTGCGATCGTATCCGGCATGTGATTGCGGATTACTCCTTCCCCTTGCCAACTTCAACTTCAAGGTGGTGCCAGCCAATGGCATTTGCCCACTGCGGCAGCCGTGGGAGGTGGGGTCACAACCATTGTGGGATCGAGTAGTTGTTTGATCATGCGGGGTGCTGCTTCGGATTCGTACTACGTAGTAAAAACTGCGGCAGAACACCCCCCCCCCCCACGTCGATTTACGCCGGTCCCCCGAAGCGTCCCTGGCGAGCAACATGGTGAGACGTG